GTTGGAGACACTGAATGACATGACGGCGAACCGACGGCGGTGGCGTTCCTTTTACCATCTGTCAGCTAGAACGGTTGATCTAGTATCTGTGCGCAGTTAAACTGTGCTTTGTGTGTGAACCTTAGAAGCGCACTTTCCTCTTTCCCTCAAAACAAGCTCATTTTGTCCCTCTTGTACATTCTTGCTTTGCACGCATTGTCCAGTAATCAACGGTTACTGTATTTATCCATACGATTATAGTGAATCCGTAATATCTCGCATTTTCATCTTTATTGGTTCTTCCAAAGCTGGGATTCTGGACAGTTTCGGCCTTGCCTATACAACCGTTGCGGCGTGCCGATTGCTTGGTTACCTAGATGTGGATCTAGCACTCTCCGAGGATCATGGCTGGGTTGAATTCGGCCCACCTGATGCGCGTCAGACAGCTGATGTCGCCAGCTGGGTTCCGGGTGCCCATCTGCTCCCCGCACGAGATACCGATGCACCTGATCGAACTGTCGAATCAAAAGCAGATAGCGAAAAATTGGACGACACGAACAATCCACCTCCAATTCGAGTTCCACCACTAGTTCAGTCTTGGCTCTATGTGAACGGACATCCGGTAATTTGTCGGCCATCAATGCGCGCAGTTGCCGCGGCGGTTGCAGCTCTTCAACCGGGTTCATCTCTTCCTGCCGGTTTACAGGCTCCTTTTTCCGCTCCTCCGGATGGGAGCTTTGCCTCATCCCCTTCGACACCATATCTTCACGGTTCTAATGATTTGATCAGCCCCAACGGATTAGCGCGACATTTATCTACCTCTTCTGCGATGTCAATGCAGGTGAGTGTGATTCCACTTTATCCTTTAACTGATTGTGGTATGTATTAGCATTTATTTTAAGTGCTTAAATTCACGGCGTCATCCAGTGGTTTATTGAGAAACTAACCTAATCTGGAGCCCTTCCATCTTTGCTCAGCGGGGGTAATATGATGGGCTTATATGTGAGTAGAACGCCCTAATGGATAAGAACTGATCTGTGTAATAAGGTATGATGTAAAAAAGCCGAAGACGGTATTCTTTCTGGGTGCTTGTTGCATT